CTAAGGTAGCTCGGTGCTGTGTTGTTGGTAATTTTAAACGTAAGCAGCAGTATTTTAAATTGGATGCGGTATTTTATGGGTAGCCAATGCAGGTCAGCTAGAACAGGAGTGATACAGGCAAACTTTCCAGTTCTGGTCAGAATGCGTGCTGCAGCATTTTGGACTGTCTGCAGTCTATGAAGGAGGGCAGAATGAAGACCAAAATAAAGTGAGTTGCAGTAATCCAGCCTTGAGGTCACAAAGGTGTGGATGAGCTTTTCCAGGTCCTTATGCGGAACATACTGCCTAGCCTTAGAGATGAGACGGAGTTGGTAGAAACTAGATCTAACTACAGCAGACACTTGTTTATCGAGTTTGAACGAGCTGTCAAGCAACATGCCCAGATTGCTAACAGTGTCAGAAAGGGAGCTGGTAAGGGAACCAAAGGCATCACAAAGTTGGCCACGAGGAACGTTGCTGCCAAATACCACAATTTCAGTTTTCTTATTATTTAGGATAAGAGAGTTTGCATTTGTAGTTTGTAATTTTTGCAGTGATTAAATTCAGACTTTTCTTGGAGCAGAGATTGTTACAGCATATGAAATGCTTATGATGAAACAAACAAAACATCCAACAAAAAGCAACAGCAGTGAGATGTCGAAAAATCAAATGTACTGTAATTACACACTAATGTCACGTACTAGAATATCACATTGTTTTACTTGAATCAACAGTCAGTAGACACAAACAACAAACACGTTTTACATAGAATCAAAGTAATTATTTTACTGTAACAGTTCTAATCTAGCATACATTTGTTCTTCTAAGTTTCCAAATAATTTTATAATGTATCCATAAGTGACTAATCAATGTTCTATTTATTAATCTACTGTTTTGATCGACGCAAGATGCAATAAATACCTAATTAAACTTCTGCAGTGTGCAAGCTTCGTGTTTGTTTTTCTGTTTTCTTAATCCAGCCTAGAGCCGTACACTTCGACCTCACACAGACTCAGGAACTCTTCTCTGTCGGGAATGACAATATTAACATAGCGGCCTTCCGTTCCATTGCATGTGAACTTAGCAACAACATCTCCAGCGATGCTTGTGATCACAGCACACCTATCAGAGGAAACAGAAATTTAATTTGTTAATCCCAGTCAGGACAAATTATTTGTCCGTGGAGTTCTGGCTCACTGAACTCCACGGATGTCCTTTGAAGACTAACAAATCACATCACATCTCTACCCCAATGTATGCCATGTACACATGGCACAAGCTGCTTGTCAGTGACACATCACAGGGAGGTGAATCGCTGTCTGAATGCTGAATTAATGCTGTCTGTTAGTGCTTGCTGTGAAAAGTAATCTTCATAAGGAGATGGCACTGTTTGTGGTCCAAAAAATGTATATTCCTGACAGTCATAGTTTATAAGAATCAAACGTTCCCATGCAATTTATTAGGAAATTAATGCGGGTCATTTTTGACCCACTTATGCATCTAGGGGTTAAGAAAATAAGTGAATGAATTACTTTTGTCAGCAATAAGACAGCAGTAGCTGTAAGATGTGTTGAAATGCAGCACGGGCATAGCTAAAACGGGCTACCTGGAGTTGTTGTTCCCGTTGTTGTGAAGGGAATTGCCAATGCGGATCTCGGCTCCATTGAGTCGTTCTGGAAGAGAATCTTGATTTACTATATTAATAGAAAACACTTTACGTGTTTTGAGCAGATCAAGTCGCCACCAGGGGCTCATTGATTTCTGTGTGAGAGTGCAGGAGGCATCTTCCCATTTGCTGTTACGATTTCCATCTATGGCATTAAATGCATTGCCAAATGCATACAGTGAGGATTGTGTGGCTTTTCCTTGGAGTGCAAGATTCTCCTCTGCAAAAAGAACAAATTTAAAAGAGTAACTGTGATGTTTGTTGCATGTAGCAAATTATGATAAAGCGAAAAGTTGATTTTTTTTTCAGTTTCAAGTGAAAAAAAAAGTGATATTAACTCTTATCAACCTAAGATTTTGAGTTTATACCACAGCTTGCTGATATATTGATTACTGTCCACATTAAATGATATAATAGCTCATATTCTCACCAGTTGGAGCAGGGTATCCATAGACTTCCACTTCGCAGAGTGTGAGGATCCTTCGTAAACCGAGCACAGTCAAAGTTACATACTGTCCCTCCACACGATTGGTAAAAGTCAGATCGAAGGATTTGCCCAAACGAATTCGAGAAATTCTACCAACCCTAACAGAAAATGTGAGAGTTAAATAGTTTACAGCAGCAGAGGTCAGAACATTTAATTTCCAGCATGGTAATGCAACAAATCCAGGTCTACACAAAAGTATATTGGATTTTTGTACCCCATAAATCAAGTTGAGATGTATTTTTATAGTATTATTTGTGCCTTTAACTATCTGTAACAGACATTTTCCATATATATACATATTCATATACAAAAATATCTTATATATATATATATCTTTAAAAGATATACCCCAAATAACCAAATATTGCAGAGATAAGATGAGAAAAATGCAGAGGAAAAAGTAAAAAAAACCCAAAAGAATCACAATATTGCTGATAATTACGTATTTGTTTATATTTACATTGGGTTATCTAAACCGTCATTGACCAAAGAGTTGCCAATGTGGATCTCCAGCCCGTTGAGCCTTTCATGACAGCAGTCTCCTCTGTTAGTGACGGTGATGGAAGTGATGACGTAGGACTGAAGCAGGTCCACTTTCCACCAGGGATTGGTCTGTTCATTAGTGTGTGTGCACGACCCCGCCATAAAGTCAGAATTACGGTTTCCATCGATCGCATTGAGGGCAGATGCCCTAGCATGCGGGTAACAGGTTGACTGAGTTGCTTTACCACGCGTAGCCAGATTTTCTGTGAATTAGACCGTTACAGTGTATAAAAAAGATCAAATGAAAACAACAACAAAAACAAAACGTTCCACTGCTATCACAGTTTTTTGTAATTGTTACCTCAGGCTAATTGGCTCTTGCACTCAATCTGGCAGAAAATAGTTTTTTAGTAGTCAAGTTTCAGCAAAGTAAAAAGCATAATTGAAACAAGCAAGTGTAAATAAAGTGAGTAAGACAAGGCTCCAATCAGAATGTGCTCCACAGTCTCCCTGATGGTGTTGTATGTTGACATTGGAGACTGGTGACAGTTAACAGTATCTGATACATGATGAGAACATGTTGGCCAGGCCTCGTCGCAGCCCCTCCATTTATCTACTCTCTGAAACAACCTGTCTGAGCTCCTCTTCATTTAGAGCCACCCTCATTTTAAGGCATCGTTCTTCTGGTTGGTTGGCTGAACAGCCGAATGTCAGGCGGGTGAAGCTATGTATCTGAGATGACTAGAAATGAATGTCCACACTTTTTGGCATTTTAAATACCAAAAAGATAATAGGATTGTTGGGGAAGGGGCAGTAGGTGTGCTTAGAAAAAATAAAATACAGTTTATACTGGCCTGTATTTGTATAGCGCTTTACTAGTCCCTAAGGACCGCAAAGCCCTTCACACAACCAGTCAC